AATGACTCACTCACATTCAGATAGGTGGATGTGTGCCAGTCCAACAGGAAGAGATTAATGCTAGGGAAAATCAATTCAGCGGAGATCCTCTTCTACACGCCTCCCTTGCTCCCCAGGACCCCAGGGAAGGTCTGCCCGACCATAGAGAACCATCATGGTAGATTCTGATAAACATTTGGTGAGTGAATGAGTAGATCAATGAGTCTACAAGACACCAGGCAACATTATTACTACATTCTGTGTTTAGTTGTGTGTTTCATGAAGCCAAGGCACTCTCCTGGTAGGTCTTGCCTCCAAGTCGATTTTAATATTTAGAAATCCAGGAAATTCAGTAAATGGCTTGTTTGGCCTTAGGATGGATGTGGCCTCAGCAGCTAGTATGTGACGATGGTTAGTCCATGTCTCTCAAAAATGGTGTTGAGTCTTGAGATGGGGATCTATATGCTTGAGTGACTTGAGCCTGAAAAAAATGGTTCTGTTTCTCATTGTCTGCTACTTTAAGAAGATGATAAATAAGATCATTAGGCTAGTTTTTAACTTTTATTAAATTGGAGGTTTCTGAGGAGAAAGAACAAAGATAGCAAGCAGTGTTATCCCGCTATTTTTCAAGTAAATATCTTTGATGCAGGACTTTTGTTTTGCTGTTGGAGGTTTCGGTTTCATTAGAATGAATCCTGGGAAGGTTGGCTGGGACACGATAGTGGTAATTAGATAATTATCTTGTTGAGAGACATCTGAATCTATGTAGAAGTTAGCGTTTAATTTAAAAGCTTCGGGTTAAATTGATCCTTTGAAATCAGAACATATCCTGTTAATAGGTATAATAGAATATTTTATGCCTTTAAATACAGCTTTTATTATCGAAGAGGTAATATGCTAATAAATGGAATGTAAGGGCAAAGTTTGGTTCACATTATGCTCATTTCCTATACATAATGAATCCTGTGGGATTTAAGGGAAACTGTTGTGTTTAGTAGTATGAAATACCCTATGTTCGAGCACTGGGGCTTTGAGCATCACCGGAGACTTTTGCATCATCTCTGATCTTCAGTTGAGTCAGGAGTGAGGATGGTGAGAAGGATGCTCAAATTGGGTCATCTGCTACCATGTGGTACACTTTTGTCCTTAAGGAGCTCAGTGTTTGGAGCGGAAGATTGAGGTCACAACTTGCTTTTCCAGTTCTAGGTAGAGTGCAGCTTGTTAGCTTATTGGCTCTTTTGTTACCATTTGAAGACATGTACTCTTAGAAGGATAATATGTCTGTTTTCTTTTCTCCTTAAATGTAAATCTATTCTGAGTATTCACACACAATAAAACTCATGTTATTTAGAATCCTGTCTAGATTCCCCAAGGAAGAAACACAGATTGACTATGTTTTCTCCATAGCTAAGTGTTAAATAAAGATTTTAAGTGCTCAGAATTCATTTTAACCATCTTTAAAAAAAATAATACTACTTTTTCATTTTGAATAGGTAATATTTACCCCATGGTTAAAAAGTATGAAAAATGCGTTAGAATGCCTTGTATCTGTCTGGTTCCCGTTCTCTTCTCTGGAAAAGCAAACATTGTTAGTACTTTTATGTGTATTATGCAATAGCTTTGTTATGCCTTTAAGAGAAGAAAATAAAATGTGGTCTTATATTCCCATCTTTATACAATAGGGCATATTATCTACATTGTTCCTTAGTATGCTTTTTTTCATTTACCACAAGAGTTCTTAGTTCTGTCACAGCTGTGGTGTTCCACTATATAAATGTACTGTAATTTTTTAACCAGTCCTCTACTTAGGGACATTTGGGTTGTTTCTTCGACCTTTTCTTTGCCAACAAGTCTGCAGTGAGAATCGCTCTATAGATGTCATTTCTCTCCCTTGTAGGATTCATAACTGGATAAATTCTGGCTTCCCAGCTATGAATCCAATAGTTTGTGCTAGGTGAGTCAGAGAAGGATTCTCACCCAGCTTTTATGTCTTCAAACATCAACTTGAGTAAATGAAATTATGCAGACAGACGTGACCAGAATCGTTTTAAATGCTTGGATGAGGTTCTCAGGTAGCATTTAGCGCTGCAGCTTGATGGACAGATCTGAGGATTTTGATCACTTCCCGAGACAGAGCAGTGTCGCGGGTTTTCAGGGCTGGACACTCAGGAGCTGATGCTGATGAATGGGCTTCCCCCACCCTGGAAATTCCAGTTCTTAGGCCACTCAGAAAGCCTGAGGGGAAAAGAGGCTGGTGTAAGGACAGCTTGGGTTTTACTGAAGCAGCCTCGTTCCCTCCCTTACTTCTCTAGCAAATACTTTCAATACAGTTGTAAGTTAAAATTTAAAAAAATCTTGATAATACAGTGGGGAAAAAAAGTAGTTCACCAAGGAGCCAAACATAAATACTTAACTATGGCCTGACTTTGGTATAGGAGGTAATTTGCAGGAAAATATAAAATTTGGTGCTATAAAGGTAGTCCCTGTATTCTGAACCTCAGTGCGAAAAACAATGTTTAATATGCTAATTTACATTTAATTAAATATATTTTCTTATGAAAAAACTTACTAAAACTTACCGTTGAATACTAAAATTCATCTGAAAGAGTAAGTAGATGAGAATACTAAAGAATGTTTTCTCTAAAACTGTTAATATGAAAGATTTACCACTCAGATTTTGTAAATAATTATAACCTTACAGTTTTTAAACTTTGATATTGTGTTAAAGTATAAAAAATTATTAGCATATAAAATTGTAGAAAGAAAATCAAACATTGTTAAGGATTCAAGAAATGATGAATTTAAAAGCAATGTATCAATAAGTAAATGAATATTTCAGTAAGTATTGGTAGGACATACAACAGTAATACCAACCAGGAGCATGAGCGTGGGCATATATCTACCTATGTTGCAGTAAATTCTGGGTGGTCAAAGAGTTAAAAGTGTTTATTGCTGTCCTGGTTTTTTTGTTGTTGTTTTGTGTAAAATATAAAAAACACTGTATGAAGTCGATGTTTATATGTAAGTTTATTGAAATGAGGAGTTCTCAGATAATGGGCTTTAAAGAGTTAAAAGTGTTTATTGCTGTCCTGGTTTTTTTTTTTGTTGTTTTGTTTTTGGTTTTGTGTAAAATATAAAAAACACTGTATGAAACCGATGTTTATATGTAAGTTTATTGAAATGAAGAGTTCTCAGACAATGGGCTTGAATGTATTAAAGTAACATCTTATCAAGGTTATTGCATACATATTTGTTTTAGTGATGAAATATATTACATTTCCACCCCATATTCCCTTTCCAAAATGTATGGGAATAGTAGAGACTTGACTTCGGAGACCTAGGTCCTGACCTTGAATTTGTCCCATAGAAGCTGCCTGTCTACACCTGGGCAAGGCCCTCATCTCTGAATATCACCTTCCCTACCAAGGGTGATGGGGAGAATGGAAAGAGAGGAAAGTGAGACCCTCTATGAACAGTAAAACATTATGTAATTATTATTATATTGTATAGGAAAAAGAAAAGTTCTAAGAACATTTTAGGAAATGATGAAATAAAGGAATACAAAGCTCAGATACTTTGACATAATTTAAAAATATTTAGATCTTTTTTCATTAATATAGTGACTTGATAAAGTTGTTCTTCCTTCAGGACTTTCATATTACGACTATTAACTCAGTTACTTTCTCCATCTGGGGAATTGGCAATTATTGACAGACAACGATTAATGATGACTAATAAAGAATCCTGGAGAAACACTTTCCCCCTCTTTTCTAGTAATTTGAAAACACAACAGATATTTCAGTCATATTAGAACTGAGAATTATCAAGCATGAGTACAGATACGAGTTGTTTAACTATGGAAAGCAGCCATAGAAAATGAATGCCTTTTTTTTTTTTTTCTGTTTTTGGCCATTGGTTCTTGGATCATGAATACTGAGGTTTCTTTGTTTATTTTCCTTCAAGAAATCACTGTAGTTTTCCTTCCCCTGAAAAATTAGAGAAAATAATTAGTTTATAAAATTGCCTTGGTTACCACAGAATGTGGACGCCACAGCAAATGCCTGTGAGAACAAGGAAACGTGGGTTTTTTACATTTTCTGGTAGCTTTTTATTTTTTTAGATTTAGATTTGTTTTGAGTGTTTGGCCTACTTGTCTCAAGAAGCTAAACAGCTTGTCTCCTGCTTTCCCAATCTGTTTGATACTTAAAGTGACTGAGACCTTTGGAATGGCTCCTAAACTGAACAGGTTTTCATTTAAAATAGAGAAGAGTAATTCCCAGGGCACCGTGGCACAGAAAGTGAGTAATCACCCGGCATGGCGAGTATTCACATGTGCTTTAAATAGGATATTTATAGCTATTACTACTAGTTGGAAGGGGAAAAACCAGCAAAACTTGTATTTGATAGAAAATGAAATAGTATAGTCAAGAGTCTAGTACTCTTAACAGTGAATTTGAAGATAAGGGACAAAATGTGAGTGGATTTTAAATGTACACAGTGATTCTTTAGAGACTAGGAAGTGACTCGTCTGCGGTATAAATCTTTGTAATGACCAGGCCAGCAGCAGGGAAAGGGTGGGGAGATTGTAAAAAATGTGTAGGGGGAGGGAAAGGCATTTAAAGTCCAATCATTTGTGTTTTTCTTTCAGCGTCTGTGACCAGAATATAGAGTCAGACTAACAGTGATAGTCAGGTTTCGGTACCAGTGTCCCTAGGAAATTAGAAGCTACGAAATCAACATGATTTTGCACACAATTTTCCTGTTTCTGGGTTGCTTCATGTAGATCACTTCTCTGCCCCATAGAGAGCTTTTAAAGTCACAATGAAAGCCATTGTCTGTGTTCATGAATTCCGAACATCTAGATATGCGATTCATTCCAGTTCTCATTCATATGCTTTCCTTATGTAAACACAACTTACATGCATTTCTGTGGCTTCTCGCGTTGTATCTGAATGAATATGGTGCTTCTTCTAGAAATCACAATCATCTATGTCACTACCTCTTACTAATTCCTTTTGCAGTTGAAAACGGCAGACAGAAGACTCCCAGGAGTTTATGCATCCAAACTCAGACGTCTCCAGATGTGCTCTCCTCTGAGAAGACACTCGAGTTGGCTCAGTATAAAACCAAATCGGAGAAGCAGAGTCGGTTCATCCTGCACCTTAAGCAGCTCGTTTCCTGCGGGAATGCCAAGTTTGAAGCATTAACCGTTGTGATTCAGCACCTACTGTCTGAGGTAAGGATATGTGCCCCCCAACCCCCGGCAGTCTTTTTCCCTAAAGTGGGGGACCAGGATGGCTGGGGGATGTGGGGGGAGAAGGGGAGCAGTGTTCGTGGGTTGTTTTGTGAATATCTTTATATTGATGATTGGTAAAACCAGATATAATTCATCCAATTATGCTTTTGCCACTCACTTGATGCCCGAGTCACTCTTTAGAAATTGGGGGCGAAACATTTCTTCTCTAGATAGTCTGGTAGACCAACAATCGATCGTGAAAAGATATTTGCCTGTGATACGCCTGTGCGCCTCCAGACTGTACAGTAAACCCTTGACTTTGTGGACCTTCATTTAACAGACTTTGGATCGAACAGACAAAATTTCCAGCCCGCATGTCATATGTGAAAATTAATACCGTGTTAATTTTTTAAAAATGTACCTTTATTTTTGAAGTATTAGAGATGTCCTTCCTTTTCCCCACATTGACCTGCTCCACCCTGCATCCAACTTCACCACATTATTGTCTGTGTCCATAGGTTATGCATATGTGCATATAAGTTCTTTGGTTAATCACTCCCTACCCACACACCCATCCTTGCCTTCCCTCTGAGATTCAACCTGTTAATTTTAAAATGCTTTTAACCAAGATTTGCTTATAATTAATTAACAGGTTTTTTATTGTTATTAATTCACTGTTATTATTATTTTTTAAATATATTTTTATTGATTTCAGAGAGGAAGGGAAAGGGAGAGAGAGATAGAAACATCAACGTTGAGAGAGAATCATCAATCGGCTGCCTCCTGCATGCCCCACACTGCAATCGAGCCCACAACCCAGGCATGTGTCCTGACCTAGAATCGAACCGTGACTGTGGTTCATAGGTCAATGCTCAACCACTGAGCAACACTGTCGGGCAATTCACTGTTATTTTTAAAAAACTTTAGCAAATAGGCCATATGTTGAAGAAAATACTGTAGTAATTTCACCAACATAAGTAAATATTACATATCTACAACTATAGTGTACATACTTAAATCCAGCAGTCACCACTCGAAAACAGTGTTCCGTGGATGATTAGCACATGATCAACCCCATCTTGAGGTAATTGGTTCTGTTGTCTCGTGGCTTGAATTTCTGCAGCAGTTTTTTTTGTTTTGTTTTGTTTTTTTAAATTGATTTCAGAGAGGAAGGAAGCGGGGGATAAAGAGATAGAAACATCAATGATAAGAGAGAATCATCAATCGGCTGCCTTGTGCACACCTCCTACTAGGAATGGAGCCTAAAACCCAGGCATATGCCCTACCAGAAATCAAACCATGGCCTCCTGGTTCATGAGTCCATGCTCAAACTGCCCCCCCCTCTTTATTAAGGTATTACATATGTGTCCTTATCCCCCCATTGTCCCCCCACACCCCACTACTCATGTCCTCGAGCCAGTTTTACCACAGGCTGGCTGAATGTTCCCACATGGGCCAAGTTGTGCCCCAGCTATGTACGTTTGTTTACTCTCCATGACTGGTGAATACACACATTTACTAGACTTAATTCAGTATAAATTTAAGGGTACAGTCTGGCCAGTGTGGCTAACTGGTTGAGCATTGACCTATGTGCTGGTTCAATTCCCAGTTAGGACACATGCCTGGGTTGCAGGTTCCATTCCCAGTCCAGTCTGGGCGAGGGCAGGAGGCAATCAATCGATGTGTCTCTCCCACATCGATGTTTCCCTTTCTCTCTCTTTCTCTCTCTCTCTCTCTCTCTCTCTCTCTCTCTCTCTCAAAATAAATAAATAAATAAATAATCAATAAAAAAACATTTTAAAAAAGTAATGGGCCTGGATGGAAGGCTGCATGTTGCTATGTGATAATGGACTTTCTACCATTATTTCAGATTGAATACCTGTCTTATGTCTTGGTGGTGGTGTAAGAAGGAAGGAAGGAAGGAAGGAAGGAAGGAAAGAAATTGATGCTAAAGCTGTTAAGAAATTTGACGATCGTCAGATGGCTAGTAAGAGGAGGAACAAGACTTGAACCACATCTAGGACACTTTGAACTGAAAATACCCTATGAATATCCCTATGTGCCTTTCCATCCTTTGTTCAAATGCCATTACTGGGCTACTACTGCCTTTCCCGCTAACAAACACATGTTCAGATCTTTCTTATAGTGGCATCCCATCACCACCTGCATTTAACTTACATTACATTTGGCAGGTTCCTTAGGCAGACGGCCAAGTTAAAATTGCAAATTAAACAGGTCAGGCAGTTCTGCGCTCCATGCCCCTCAGGAAGCAGGGGACCAGGAGTCAGCGCTTCCTTCAGCTGTATTCTCAGTCCCTAAACACCCCGTGGGCATGAACCTTCCACACTCTGTGTGATCCTGGTACTTAAAGATACTTTCTTCCCAGCCATGGCCGCCGGTGTGGCTCAGTGGATTGGGAATCATTCTGTGCACCGAAAGGTTGCCAGTTCGATTCCTGGTCAGGGCACATGTGCGGGCAGTAGGCTCAATTCCCAGTGGGAGGGGGTGCAGGAGGCAGCTGACTGATGTTTTGCTCTCACATTGATGTTTCTCCCTCTCTCCCCCTCTACCTTCCTTCCTCTCTCTCTAAAAATCCATTTAAAAATCTTAAAAAACAAACAAACATACTTTCTTCCCATATGACCTGGCTCCTAAACACAAGCCAAAGACACATTATTGGGTGTTCAGTTGGAGAAAGCAATTCCCACACTGGAGGATCCCCTCCCAGGACGGGGCACACTGAGAGATGCTTTGCCAGTCAAAGTAGGGCAAAATCTTAATGCGTTTTAGGGATACTTTTACAGTATGTGAATTTCATCGTATACCTAATGTAGGTCCTAGTGCCTATGTAATTGTGACTCCACCAAATTTCTAAAAATTCAGTCAAAACTCCCTCTTTTATGAAGACTTTCCTGATCCTTCTAGTTCTATATCTACCTACTGTCTGGGTTCCAGGTGCACTTCCATTTCTGTAGCTCTCTACCTTATAGGTAACCAGCTAGCACTTGTTTTTGCTTCTTTTTTAAAAAATATATTTTATTGATTTTAGAGAGGAAGGGAGAGGGAGAGAGAGATAGAAGCGTCAATGATGAGAGAGAATCATTGATTAGCTGCCTC